AGATAAACATTTATAAAATTACAACGAAGAAAAAAAATAACCTACGAACGCGCGTTTACGCGATACATAAATTTGCAACAATTTTGAGATTTTTATGATTCGAGAAGAAAATATGTATAATTTCTAGATCAATTTCTATAATTCAACTAATAGGACAATGAATGTACTTTTACTGTTTTCTCTTTCCATCGTTACTTCGTAGTGTATTTGTCATCTATGTGTGCGTACGTGTGAACTTTCTTAACACGTGACGGCCGCACGTTTCAATATACCCTTACCACCTATCGCCGAAACTTTTCGCAGATTCGTTCATAGTGTAATTACAATATACTCATTGAGAAACGCATTGAAAACGCTTGTTAAAACATTATAATGTTGCTTATTTATGTAACGCCGACCAATAATCGTTGGCAGAGCGAAGTCACGTCTACGTGACAGAGGCCGTGAAAGTGTTCAGCAGCCTTGTCTGGATCGTCCAAGTGAAACAAAGTGGTGGACATTCTGCGGGACAAATGAAAGCTCCGATCGTATTGTCCAGATAGTTTTGCCTGTTGCGTGGCTATTAGAGACTACTTCCTCTTACGTAAAAGAAAAAAATCTGCCTCCAAGTGTCACGTATTTTCCGATCGACAATTATACAGAAATAGAACTTGCGAGAAATTGTAAGTACCTAGGTGAATTTCAAATTATAGAATGTACAGTAAATCGTGTATAATTCTAGTCTGTATGATGTTGTACGTGCGTCGTTACTTTTCCCTTAAATTAAATAATTATTATAATCACGCAGTTATTATAAAAATTTCTATTTCTACTTTATCCGAAACGTTGTTAATAAAATTACATTTCAAGCTCTCACTTCTTAATTGGGCCATAAGAATGTATAAATCAATCGTAAAATGAAAGAAAAAAGGTGAATTTTTTTATTGCAACAAAAGTAACGTTATATTAATGAACGTGATGAATAAAGCATCGCGACCGGTACACATGCGTAAATAAGGGCAATGCGACGTAGTAAATCAGCTAGGAAATTAGGAACGTGGAACGAGGAACGAATGCGCATTTACCTGCTAATAACAAATCATATCCTGTGGAAAAGAAAAGAGCAAAGAAAACGCTTGAATCTTGCGTGTGTTATCATAGCTATGTAAACGGTAAGAAAGTTTCAGCCATGTGTGAAAGTGTGCGACTCAACGCTCTTCTTATACCAACACGAGCATCTCGTATATCGTGAGCACGGAGATGACATGTAATTTCGAGGAAGAGTGATATGCGCACGCGCGCGAGAGAAAGAGAGAAAGAAGGAGAAAGGAACTGTCTTCACTCTTGTTCCTGAATATTTTTTTCGAGTTTTCAAGCGGCTACGTTTTACGTTTTTGCTGATATTTAAAATTCAACCATAGCACATAAGAGTTCGGAATTTTTTGGTAGCTTTTATATTTAAGGAACACGGTATAAGTAGTTCAGATCCATTAACACCAGCAAGCAACGATCAAACCACGCCATAATATGATCCTACAAATTGTCAACTCTTCGTCGTTTATTTTAGAAATTTGAAATCTAACTTA